TCTGGCAGATCCGACAAATCTTGCCAGAAGTCGAGCGTCAGGTGCGAGATTTGGATATTTGGCGGTGTAAAACCATACGTGTATGAAAATATATCAGCGTTCTTGATTGTAAGGATAGTCGGAGCTGGGACTGTTGTAAAAATTCATTCACAGATGTCTGGAAGATTGTGGTCATTGTCCACAAAGGACCTGTCGTGCTCTGCGTCCAGGATGAGGTGGTATGGGTGGTTCCGGCTAACGATAGCTAGCCATGGCTCCAGATGATCCTTGACGCTCTGAATCCCTCTTTCATTGCGATAGGGAGTCCGGATTCGTGGTGTATCACCCGTAAACACCAAGCCCCTGCAGATGTCTGGCGTCGCTACCACATCCCTCCAAATTGTGCAAACCTCGCGTAGGTAAGCATACGTCCTGCGCTCCCTTTGTCCAAACGGCTCGTCACCAAGTGTGAAGGCAAATATTGCTCCCCATACTTCGGGTGGTACAGTGCGAGAGAGGGATGGGAGCCGAGAATGCTCCTCGTAATTTTTCTTGTGGTAATCCCTGGTTCGTTTCTTCGCGTCAAGTGCGCGCTCCAGTTGATTGACCTCAGCGTCGAGGCTTGCAACGATGCTGGAGGTTTGTTCAAGATATGCCTCTAGAATCGGCCGTAGTTCACGAGGAAACGGAATGTTCGTCGAGAGATATGGCGATAACTCAGGAGGTGAGTCCATGTTGCCGGCTGAGGTGGCAAAGACGAAAGCGGCGGTGATCCACAACTCGCTTGCCAAAAGTTGGGACCCCGTCAGCTCACGTACCCCATACGGTTCATACCCCTAACTGCATATTTTGGTGCGACCTTTATTCTGCTGATACCTTTCAAACACCCACATTACAATGGATAATTATTGGGAATGGGGGAGAAAGTATGGACACATTGGGAATTGAACCCAACGCTTTGAGCCCATATGCCATTTTCTGTACCACCGCCCGCAAAGAAGGGATGGGCGCCTATTTTCATGGGCACATGGTGTAGTTGGTTATCACGCCCGCTTAGCACTGAGCTGAGTTTGCGGGCGGTCCCCGGTTCAATTCCGGGTGTGTCCACTTTTTCATCCCCCTTGTCGAGGAGCCCCTGTCCGGTGATGATGACGACATGTGTTGTTCACGCGCACCAGTTGGCAGCGTCCTCTCAGGGTTGATTCTCGACCACGACGTTAAGGACGTCGAGACCTTGTGAGTTCGTTTTTAGTGCCTGCTCGCTGTAAGTAACTCGTGCTAACCACACCGTAAACGACATGCAGGATTTCATTTCATTTCCTCATGCATTGCCAGGCTCTGGCTTGATAAATCAGAGCAACTCCTGCTACGACAGCATAACTCTGACCAGCAACGACGATGACTATCCGCGCATTTCTCGGCTATCGTACCCTCCCAACGACAATCCTGATTGTCACTATCTATGTGACTGCTTTCTTTGCCATATTTATAACAGACCTTCTCCCGGACATTCCTCATGAAGGAAGCAAGAAGCTGCAAGGCCTTGACTTGAAGCAGGCAAAACGGGACTTGGAACACGTACGTCTCCTGTTTCGATTGTACAGATAGTCGTCTAACGTTTGGTTTGCAGATTGCGGCCAGACCACATCCATACAACTCCCATGCAAACGACGGCGTGAGGGAATACCTACTCAAGCGGCTGGACGACATCACATGGCAGTACGACCATGTTTCCCTCAGCAACGACTTGAAGAGTAATGGCTCCTGGGCGTCGACCAAGTACGGTGTTTATTTCGAGGGGACGAATCTGCTCGTCAAGATCCGTGGAACCGATGACGACCCACATACTGAGGCTCCCATCGGAGAACCAGGAGCGGTCGCAGATGGAGTTTTGTTCTCTGCCCATTACGATTCTGTGTCGACAGCACCCGGAGCCACAGATGATGGCATGGGCGTTGTGACGCTCCTCCAGCTCATTCAGTACTTTGCTGAGCATCGCCAGAAGAAGACGGCCGTTTTCAACATCAACAACGGAGAAGAAGACTGGCTGAATGGCGCACATGCGTGAGCACAAGCATGTTTTTTCACGAGAATGGTTTGCTGATGTACTTGTAGGTTCTTGCAGCATCCATGGTCGAACCTTACCTCGATCTTCCTAAACCTCGAGGGAGCAGCATCAGGAGGCCAACCTGTCCTCTTCCGGGCATCCTCCCTGCAGCCCTTGCAGGCCTACAAGGACGTTCCATTCAAGCAACGCGTTCGCCGCCCGCATGCCAACGTGCTTTCATCTGACGCCTTTGCACGAGGCGTCATCCGTTCCGGAACTGACTTTTCAGTGTACACGGGGATTGATAGGCACGGTCCAGGTACGTTTAGCCCAATTCACATCCTTGCCAAGGAAGCTGTGAACTGATTCATGTCATAAAGATGCCGAAGGTCCTATGCTGAAGGAAGGCCTCGATGTTGCATTTTACAAGGGACGGAGCCGGTATCACACCAAATGGGATGGTCCTTCGTATACCGAAGGAGGGGAACAGAGCTTGTGGTCCATGATAGACGTTGCAAAAGGCGTTGGTATCGGGCTGCTTAATCCCAAGGATAACAAATCCACCAAAGGCAAAGCAGGCGTATACTTTGATCGTGAGTCCTACCCCAGAATTACCAAGGTGTATACTGAATCCTTGTTAGTGTTCAAGGCAGTCATGATTTCTTTCTCCTTGAAGAGTCTTCTTGTCTTCAACATTGTCATCTTGGTCGTCGGGCCAATCGTACTTGGACTCCTCTTTGCCATCCGCCTCGTCTTGAACAGCAGTCGAAACCCACCACCTGTACCACCCAAGCCAACCGCACCGAACTCTGCTCATACCCCCAGTGCTAGTAGCTCGGGTCGTCAACAGAACAGCATCTCCGTTCCTAATGGTGCGAATGGCCACACCGGCAATGAAGGATTCTGGGCAAAGATTCGGAATTCGCATGTGACGAATGTTGTGATTGGCGTCTGGAAGCAGATGAGCTTTTGGATCGCCTTGGCTCTGGCTGTCGGCCTGCAAGGCCTTGTCATCTGGGGATATGTGTCTCTCAACCCTTTTGTGAGTTGCGTTCTCTGTCGACGAGCCAGCTACTGACTTCCTCCTCCTCCAGACTGTGTATACACACCCTTACCTTGTCCTCCTCTCCCTATTCTCTCTCGCATTCTTCACGATCGACGTCGTCCTCAAAGTGTCATTCCCTCCCTCGACCGACAAGCACCCAATTGCCATTCGTGAAGCCGAGAAAACCACGCTCCTTCTCCACATGCACTTCCTCGCATGGGTAGCTCTATTGGCTGCTACCATCCTCGTGGGACAAGCACAAGTCGGCGGGCTGTACGTTGTTACGGTGTGGTATCTTGGGACCTGGGCCGCCAGCATGCTGGGAACACTCGAACCTATCGTGATGACCTATCAAGCCGACAAGGGCAAAGCTCGTGCAGCTGCCGCTAGAGGGTCAGAGGAAAGTGAGCGCACGCCGTTGTTGGGCTCGGCTGGAGCGGGCAGAGCAGCGACTCCCGAACATCGTGCAGCCAAGAGGGCGGATGAAGGTGCCATTGGCTGGTGGATCGTTCAGATCTTCCTAACTGTCCCCGCTTTCATCCTGCTTCTTGGACAAATCGGAACTCTGCTCCTCGATTCCACGAGTCAGACTATTGCGGATGGTGCTAATCCCTGGGGAGGTGAGTTATCTTTTATTATCTGCTGTGGAGATTTCTGATTGCCTCCATGTACAGTGTACGTCGTCATTGGTCTTGTGGGCACTTTGCTCGCCCTCCCTGTGGCGCCGTTCAGCCCAAAACTGCACCGAGGCCTTACTCTGCTCGCCTTGGCTTCTTTCGCCATTTCGACTGCCTACCTGTGGCTCGCCTTCCCCTTCAGCCGTGCTGACCCCCTCAAAGTGGCCTTCCAGCAGATCGTTTCTATTGACCCAGAAGACGTCTTCCTCAAGGGCGCCGCGAACCATACCACATCGTTGGGCACCCCAGCCACCTACAAGCCAAAGGTCATGACCGAGCTTACGGGAGCATCTTTCTTCATAGACGACGTTCTCCAGTACCTCCCTTCGTCACGCGACAAGGACGTTACCTGCGGACCAAGTGACGTGCGAATTGGGTTGACGGTCTGTCGTTGGGAGAGTAAGGAACTGTCTCCCAGCCCAGGCGGTCAACCTTTGAGACTCTCCCCTGGAACGGACAATACCGAGCCATCGTTCTTCACAGCCGACGTGAAGCGAACCGGACGGGGGTCGGCTAGGATCTACGTTCAAGGTCGGAACACAAGGAACTGCAGGCTCTATTTCGACGACGCTCGAGAATTAGGCACTGCCAAGGTTACTGGGTACACTGTCAAAGGAGGAGTGGAGGGTATGCAATCCGGGTACCCTGTCGACCAAGTAAAGGGGCTGAAGGAGATTCGATTGTGGAGTCGGACATGGGATAGGGAATGGGAGGTTGAAGTTGAGTTTGATTCGTATTTTAGGATGAACGGAGGAGAGGCAGCAGAGCTTGAAGAGAAGCTGCGAGGACGAGTAGCGTGCGAGTGGGCTGAATATGAGAGTGGGATGGTGGATAATGGGTCTCTGGATGAGGCTATGAAGGCAAAGATCCCAGCGTTCGAGGAGGCGTTGACGTTCCTGCCCGAGTGGGTAGCGGTTACGAAGAACGGGGATGGGTTGGTTGAAGCTTCTACTCCGTTTGCCGTCTGAACGACGCTGATGGGGATGGGTATGTTTTTCTGGAAGGAGCGGACGATGCTCCCCGATTACGTTTTATTCTCGACTCGAATGAACGGACGCTTTGCATGATTTCCGTTGTCTTGAATCTCGCTCTGTTACTCATTGTATTATTATATATCCTGATGGCAAACACTGGCGCTTTCTATTGGCTTTGGTATACTAGCATGAAATATCATTTTCGAGTGTACTCGACGAAGTGCCTTGCTCACAAGCGCTTGACAAGTCTGACACCATGACATTTACCGAATATCATCGGGCACATGGTGTAGTTGGTTATCACGCTCGCTTAGCACTGAATCAGAAGATTCACGACTGCGAGAGGTGTTGGGTTCAATTCCCAATGTGTCCATACTTTTTCACCATCTCAAACAATCATCTATTAAATCAGAGAGTTCGGTATGTACTTATGAGTAGAACGAGCCACAATACGAACAATTGTGGGTATGGTGAAATTTGAGGCGTGAACGCGTGAACTCTGATCAAGGTGCGGAGTTCCAAGTCTTGGTGGTTGTCTGGATCAATTTCATATCTCGACTTGTCCTCCCCCTTGCGTGGCCTGCATCATGAACTCTCCGAGTCCTCCTGAATTATTACCGTATCTCTCGACAAACATTCCGCTTCCCCATAAGCTCAGGCCGACTCTGGGAACATATCTTGAACAAACCTCCATCACCATCGCCAACATCGATACTCACATCGATCAGATAGAGCGCATATTGGACGCGAAGAGGAAAAGCAGAGACCACTACAAGAAGAAATACGAGGAGCACTCTCGGCTACTTGCTCCCGCTCGCACCATCCCACCGGAAATATGGGGAGTAATATTTGGCTTCACACTTGGTGACCAGCCATTTGGACGGTCGGAATATAGGACGTATGGCTTCCTGCGCAAGGTTTGCACGACTTGGCGGGACGTGGTGGCGACAACGCCGAACCCCTGCAGGGGCTTGGTGGTGCAAATGAATGGACCACTAGCACAGAGTTCGTACAGTGACGAGAAAGGGGTACAAAATCCCATGGACAAGCTGGAGCCATGGCTGGCTATTGTCAGCCGCAACCACCCATATCACCTCGTTCTTGGCGCAGAGCTAGAGGACGACGAGGCGTTCGACGTTTCAGATTATGATGTCGCCAGGATCTGCGAATGGATCTTTACAACAGTTCCAACCCCAACAGTCCTCACAATCACGAACTCTGACATTTTCTCGTCGGTGTATACGCATGCACCACGAAATCCTGCAATCTCACATTTGACGCTTGACTTCGAGGAAGATCTAGATCGGCAAGAACTGGATGATTCACCGCTGGAGAATGCATTTCCATGTCTCAAGGTGATGGTGATCAACGCCTCCATTAGTTTTATCAGCGACTTTAGCCACACCGGCATCCAGTCGCTCAGCCTAGCCAACATCTGTGGCTTTGCGCAAGAATTCGCATTCTTCCTCCTTGACCTTCCATCACTCAGAGAGCTCAGGATTGACTCAGACGATCTCTGTCGCCCTCCCGAGGATGTCTCCAATCCACCAACGCCTCTAATCCACCCAACACTCGAGATCCTGGTTGCGGAGGGGGAAGATTTGTTGTTTCTTCTGGACAATATCACCTTTCCTTCTCTCAAATACTTTGGCTTGAAAGCATGGGGATTAAACGACGAGTATGAAAAAATTGCGGACCTCATCCTTTCGTTTTTCCAACGATGCTCTCTCAACAACAAGAACTTCACAGCATCAATGCGATGGATACCTCGTAGATTCATCTTCGACCTTCTCATGCACAGTTTCCCTCGCGGCACTCGACTTCACCTTGACATTGACGAAGTTCTGGGCGAAGAAGACGATGAAGCCCAAATACCAGCCATTCCTGCACCCACTCATACTCGCACGTTTACCGAGATCTTCTGCAACCAGAGGCTGGATGACTTCAACTGGCTGCGCGGCGAGCACGACTCGCCAGGAAGCAAGCTAGTTAAACTATACATGCCACAGGGGGCCTTGGACAAAGGAGAGATTGAGGTTTACCGGGGAAAGCTGGGGAATTTAGGATACATCCTGGAGATTCTCCAGTTGCATGATTACAAAAAGTTACTTCAGTCGTCGACTGCTCAAAATACTCTTGGTTGGGGGGGCTGACGTTTGCATAGATTGTTTTTATTGATACGGGTAGCACGAAATGCAAGAAGGATCCAACATGTGAATACCGAGGCGAGGCAAGAACGACATGCGTAACATGTACATTGCACCATGGTAGCCTTAGATCTAAATAGATGCACACATTCAGGGGGAAGACTGAAGATTGAGCGATGTTGTCTTCCTTTTCTCACTAGGCCTTGCAAATGGACTCCCCTCCAGAGCTATTGCCATATCTCTCGTCAAACGTATTGCTACCCTATCACTTACAGCAAGTTCTTCGCACATATCTTATCCAAACCTCCACCCACATCGCGGAAATTGATGCTGAAATTGACCAACTACAGCGTGCGCTTGAGGCGGAGAAGCGTCAGAGAGACCATTACAGGAAAAAGCAAAAGGAGTACTCTCGACTACAAACCCCTGCACGTACTATCCCCCCAGAGATCTGGGGAGTGATCTTTGGCTTCACACTAGGTGACAAGCCGTTTGGACGATGCGAGTACAGGATGTATCGCTATCTCCGCCAGGTGTGCACAACGTGGAGGGATGTGGTAGCGATGACTCCAGACCTTTGCAGGGGTCTGGTGATTCATATGGACGGACCAATGTTGGAGACTTCATGGCGCCTGGAGACAGGGATACGACTTCCCCAGGACAAACTGGCACCGTGGCTTGCGATTGTCAGCCGGAACCACCCATATCACCTGGCTCTATCCGTTGAGGATGAGGATGATTTCAATTGGGAAGACGACGACGTCGCAAAGGACGTGCAATGGATCTTGACGACGGAGCCCACCCCAACGACCCTTACACTCATCAACTCTGAGATGTTCTCGTTGGTATGTGCCAATGCGCCACGAGATAACCAAGTCTCGCACTTGACGCTCGACTTCCCGCAAGAGGTGGAGCGGGACATCTTGGACAATACACATTTCCAAAGGGTGTTTCCTTGCCTTGAGAACCTTTACATCGACGCCCCCCTTCGAATTTCTTAGCCTAATGGCTCACAGCAACCTCCAATCCCTCACGCTCACCCAAATACTTGGCACCCCGCGTGCCTTTTCAAACTTTCTCTTGGACTTGCCAGCACTTCGAGAAGTTCGAACCGACTCTTTGGACCCGTATCGCCATGGGCCGGAAAACATTCCCAACCCGCCCCCGCCCTTAGTTCATCCAACGCTCGAGATCCTAATCGCCGGACGCGAAGATTTGTTGGTTCTTCTGGAGAACCTCACCTTTCCTTCACTCCAATTTCTTGGCTTGAAGGTGCGGGGGTCGCAAGAGGCCTACGACTCCATCCCCAAGACCTTTCCTGCATTCATAAGGAGATGCTCCCTCGACAACAAGAGGTTTAAAGCGTCAATCAGAGGAAGGCTCTCAGCATCTGTGCTGAGCGTCCTCATTCACAATATGCCTTGCGGCACTCGACTTCACCTTGACGTGGTTGTAGAATTGGATGACAAGGAAGCGCCACATACTTCCACTTCCGCCCAGTCTAGGCTGTCTAGCTCGTTCGTCGAAGTCTTTTGCACCCAAGGACTAAGCAACTTGTACCGGCCACACGAAGAACATGACCTCCCTCCAAGGGCCGAGCTGATTAAAATGTATGTGCCAGAAGGCCTCTTGGACAGGGAATCAATCGAAACACGCCGAGAAGAGCTGCAAGATTGGGGATATGCACTGGAGGTTCTCCCCGTGAATGCTTATAGGAGGTTGCTCCAGTCCATGATGCCCAAAATGACTATTGATTGGGAGGTGTGAGGTGCACAAAGCTTTAGCCTTTCAAGATAGGTAGCTGTGGAGTCTAGGACCTCTACGTAGTTAAGCATCCTTCAAGACACTGTTGATCTTGCGAGAGTCTTCTCAGGTATTTCAGATCTCGTGTAAATGTAAACAGACGCAAACATGTGAAGGAAGGAGATACAGCATATGAAGCCCGATGTTGTCCTTTCCTAAGTACAATTCAAAGCATGGAATTGCCTCCTGAGCTCTCGCCGTATCTCTCGTCTAACGCCCCGCTGCCCCATGAATTGAAGCCAATTCTTGAGATATGTCTGGCACAAGCCTCCAGCTTCATCGCGGAACTCGACACTGAAATCGATCTGCTGGAGTTAAAGCGCACAGATGCGAAGAGGCAGAAGAGGGACTGTCGAAAGGAAGTCTACAAGAAGCTTTCTCAGCTTCGTGCCCCTGCTCGTACTATCCCGCCGGAAATCTGGGGAGTAATCTTTGGCCTCACCCTTGGTGACAAGCCTTTTGACCGACAGGAGTACCGAACCTATGGCTACCTCCGCGAGGTTTGTAAAACCTGGAGGGATGTGGCTGCGACGACGCCAGACCTTTGTAAGGGTTTGGTGGTTCATCTGGATGGACCCCTGGCACAGACATCGTACAGCGATGAGAATGGGCTACGACTTCCCAAGGACATACTGGAACCATGGTTAGGAATAGTCAACCGGAATCACCCATATCATCTGGTCCTGGGCGTCAAGGATGAGGATGCGTTTGATTGGGACGACGAAGGCATCGTAGAGGTTCTGCAATGGCTCTTGACGACAGTACCTACCCCCACCACTCTTTCAATCATCACTTTCAATATTTTAGCGCGGATGTATGCCAATGCACCTTGGGAACACCAAATCTCGCGCTTGACAATCGACTTTTGCCAAGCTGTGGGTTGGGACGACTGGGACGAGATGACCTTCCAAGGGGTATTTCCTAATCTCAAGAGCCTTTGGATCAATTCCACCGCATTTCTCGATCCAATGCGTCACAGCAACCTCCAGTCACTCACACTCACCCAAATATGTGGCTCCGCAAATGATCTTTCAACCTTCCTCTTGCACCTCCCAGCCCTTCGTGAGCTTCAGATCCGCTCTGATTATCGCTCTTGCCGTGGGATTCCCGACTCCAACTCCTCCCCGCCTTTAACCCATCCAACGCTCGAGGTCCTGGTTGCCGAGGGCGAAACAGATTTGTTGCCGCTTCTGGGGCGCATCACATTTCCTTCACTCAAGTTCCTCGGGTTGGTTTCTCGGGGGCTCACGGAGGGCTCTCACCACGACTTCCTCGCGGAAATTATTCCTGCGTTCTTTCAAAGATGCTCCCTCGACAACAAAGCCTTTGCTGCATCAATCAGCGGGACACCGGCCAAATTCTTCTTCGACCTTCTCCTTGCCAGTCTCCCTTATAACACCCGGCTTCACCTTGACGTGGAAAT